GGGCCTTGTCGCTCCCAGGCTTTCTGTCGTGGGAGCGTCCCGAATAATCCACCCAGGACGGCAGGGCCCGTCCCGGCCCGTCCCCTGAGCCGGGGATCCACAGGGGTGAGCGAAACGGCCACGAGTCCCGCGGCAGCCGCGGTCTCCGACTCTGACCAACCCTGGTAGCCTCTGGAAATGGGGCTAGGAAAGGCCAAGTGGTGCCAGGAATCACAGCAACAACCGAATGGCAAACCCAAGTTCACGTTCATTAACTCTAACTGCCTAATTGCTGTTAATCTCTCATAATCAGCTAAAAGTGGAGTAAGTGAGCCCAGCGTGATTACGCACTTCTCTGAGTTATAAACCGAATTGGTGTTTACTCTCGGGACATGAAACCCTACAGAGTTACGAAGACTGTTTGTTGAGGCATAAGTTTCTCATCCTTTTATGTCTCTGCACTCAGTTTTCCAGTGAAAACACAGATAACACCATGAAGTCCTAAGAAATGGCGTCCTTTATTTCTCTGGACGTCTTTCCGCTGGGGTTTTCATCTCCTGTTGTGTTTCCTTCTTCCAATAAACGCGAAGAATTTTTCTCCCCCGAAGCAACATTAAATAAAAATACRCATAATTAAAAGAAGACTGACCGCACCTGAAGAATGGAGTTTCCCAGCTACTTGATCTCCCTTACATCAAAGCTAAGAGCGGTGCAGTTGCCCCGCGCTCCGGTGCGCAGGTCCCGCGCCCCGAGGAGCGGCGATACTTTCTCCATTTACACATTGCCCACGGATCTATATCACAAACGAGCTAGGCAGCAGCAGTGCAGAAAATTACTATGTTCCTTCCCGCCCTAAGATTTTTTTTTTAAATTATCTCATTTCCTCAAATATATTTGCTATGATATAACCAAGCTAGGAGTCTCAAGCTTTTAGCATAGGCTTTCAATAATTGCTGTCTGCCTCGCGCTTGTTCTCTCCCAGGAAAAACAATCCAGCTTTTTCACCACCTTCCTTGCCAGATTTTGCCGCTAGTAACTTTGTCTTTAGGAAGTTACTTCTCTTCTGTCTCTCGTGTTAACTTCTGCTGCAGTTATGCCAGACCAATGGATAATGCGAACGATGGAGGAAAACAAATGATTAATATTTGCCAAAAACTTTCCCCCATGCTCATTACATCCTGTTGTTAAGTTTTAACATGTATGAGGTTTTAACAGCAAAACAGAACAGGTTTCTATTTCTTTTCCTTCCCCTTTAATGTAGCCAGTTACGATAATGAAAGGATTTAACAGCAACACGGGGATAATTGTTAAAGTATTTTTTTTTCCCTGCAAAACAGTTTCATGCCTTCTCTTCTCTTCTCTTTTTAAAGATCCATTTTAAGTCCGAAAAAAAAAAACCCTTTTCTGCTTGGCCTCCACCCAGCGCCGGGGCCGCTGGAGCAGCTCGCCTGGGGGTGATGAACTCGAGCCGCGGGTCAGCACCGGGGCCGGCTCTATCCCTGCTCCCAAATTGGCGCTGCCCGGGACAGAGGCGGGGACAAGAGTCCGGCGTTCTGTGTTTGGGGACCCTCGCGCGGCTCGCGGGCAGCGGCGGGCGCGGGGGTGCGCGCGGCTCCGCGGGGGCGCAGTGCGGCCCGCGCGCCGCCAGGTGGCGCCACGGGGCCCGGCGCGGCAGGGGCGCTGCGCGCCTGCGGAGCAGCGGACAGCGGCCCGCCGGGTGCGACAGCCTGGACCCGCCGCCCTCTGTCCTTGTCCCTGTCCATCCCCAAGCCCGGGCTCCCCCAGGGCAGGCGGGACGGCGCGAGGCGACACCCCCCGCCCATTGCGTGACCTCGGAGGCYGCCCAGGAGGAGGCCGAAGAGGCCGTCGGGGGAGTAGGGCCGGAGTCCTAAGGAGATTGCAACTGGCTCAAAGTTGGACTAGACGTTGTTGATTAAATATCTTCATTCCAATTAAGTTATGTGAGTTTTATTTTTTTCAATTTTTATTTTCTTTTCCGGTTAAGATTTAATAAAAGAATAWTGAAATATTCTTTGAAGCCCTGAGTAACCTGCGCAAGGTGTTTTTGCTTCAAGGTAAAAATAAAAAGCAGTCTGGCTGTAGGCCTAAGCAGCTATTTAAAATTATAGGAACAACTGAGTAAACAGCGACTAACAAAACTTCGCATATTTTGTCAGTCTCTGTAACTTCCTCTCCATTTGCCTATGATTGTCACAAAACTGTGCAAGCTAGTCCGAGCTATTACTGGTTTTGAAGACTGTAAATAACTGCTGAAAGTTTTTACGGGTGAGATGGTGTTCCTGAAAAACTACAAACGTTGGTGCAGTAAAGGGTCTCATGTGCTAGGAACTTAACTTTCAGGCGACTCCTTTATTAGTGGGATGGTGTTTTGCAGTGGAATTTCTGACTGTGTTGAGTGCAATGGTCACCTAATATCTACTTAGTGGGAGATTATTAACATCTCTTACGACATGTAATTTCCCTTGCAGATGAATGTAGCTACCTTTTAAAAGGCATTGTACATAAACTGAGATATCACTATTATTTTAAAGGTGCAAAATATAAAATAACACTAATAAAGATCACTCACGGCCTCACTTGCGTGTGACTTGTTTTCCTCATATTGGGACTTCTCACACAGTGTGTTTTGTTTGCCCGGAGCAACATGAAAGGTGCTCCCTCCTCTTTAGTGGCACAGCAGCTTTTGCAGAGGAGAAAGTTCTGTCGGTTTGGTTGTGTGCACACATGAGTGCATTGGAGAGGTGGTGTCTTAGCTGCGGTTTTCGGAAAAAAAAAATAATAATAAAGAAAACTAGGGGAAAAGATGCTAGCCCGTTACAACATTTAAGAAAACAGACGAGGGCGCCAAACGACAGCAATAAACCTGCCCGCAGACTTCCGCTCCTCCGCGCGGCCCCCCGGCCTCGCTCGCTGCCCGGCGCAGCRGACGAGCCCCGACGGCCCCGACGGCCCCGCCGCCCCCGGCCCGGCCTCCCGGGGCTGCCCGGCCGTGCGAGCCGGACCCGGCTCCACGCAGCGCCGGGGCCGCCGCTCGGTGCCCGGGGGCTGCTCGGGCTGCGCCCCGAGGGCGGCCGCACTCCGCGCCGCGCCCGCGGGCCCTGGGAAACTTGCTATTTACTCTTGTCTGGTTTGGGGGCTGTAAAACGCAGGACACCGCATAGCAGCCTAAATTCACATTTCAAAGGGCTGACATAAAACCATCATTAATGGCAGGCTGAATTTTGCAAACAACGCCTAGAATGTTTCTTAAATATTTCATGGAATGTTTAGGGAGACTTTAACACGTTATTAAAAAAAAAATCTGACAAGTATCCCATTTTCGAGCTATGAATCATGCGCAAGAGCACAAGAACTTAGGAGATGTGTGTGACTTTAACATTAGCAGGAACAGCTCTCCTCGCAAAACAACCAAACCCACGTTTAATCACAGGAAGCGTTTAATCACAGAACCGTTTCTCCGGGCGATCAAACTCAGAATCCCAGCTCTTAAAAATATAAGATTATGTGGGTGAAAAAAAAATCACGACGCCAATAAAGGTTGGGAAGCTACTGAAGAGCACTCCAGAGATGCTGGCGACAAAGGATTTATCTCCGTTTAAATGGTTGCCATCAGCGTCATTATCACTAGCAAAGTTTTCGCTGAAGGGAGACTTTGCCAGTGTCACGTCTGCTGAGCGTGGCGGTCCGTGTCCCCCGCAGCGAGAGACGCTGCGCTCCACACCGCCGGCGAGGAGAGGAGGGATGAGCTAACTGAGCTACAGGTAACTTTGGGAATAGGGTGCTAGAGATGATACTTCTCTTGATGCCTGAAAACCCGATTTTTTTTTAATGGGTAGAATTTCGAGGCAATGGGGAGGGGAAAAGGAAAACGCTGGGAAGAGACGTGCCGCGTGAAGGAAACGGCTGCCGAGTGTTTTAAATCACGAACGCATTTAATGTGCTTCGGTTATTCCCCACCCCCCCGCACCTATCGTTCCGTACAACAGAGAGTGCTGTCCCAGAGGGGAGGAAGGCCGGCGGCAGCTTCCTCGAGAAGTGGGATTACAGCAAGTCTAAAGGAGATTGCATTTGCGGGCGCAACAAAGAAAATTTATTAGAAATCAGGAATGACAGTAAATACTCCCATTTCTAGGCAAGTGCTGCTCGTAGCCTTGGATCAGGAGGTGACAGCGGCAGCAGCACTTGCAAAGTCTCACTGTAAGGTTTGCTCGGGCGCGGATGTGTGTGTGGGGTGCTAGTATAATTCTTAAATAAAAGTAGCAATGCAGCCGAGAACAGAGAGGGCAAAGTAAGTAGATGTCAGCGAAAGGAGCGTCCCCGCCTGCCGCTCTTCTTCCAGCGATTCTTCTCGCTGGGCTCTAAAATCCACCTCCGAAATAAGAATAAAGAAAAGCATTAGCTAATATTTAGCGTGCAGTTCTGTCCGAGGACAAATGAGAGAGAAGCTGCATCATTAGGACCTAAAAGGCAACAAAACAAAAATCAGAGCATAATGATGCACCTAAATGAAGGGGGAAATGTTGCACAGCTCATTTTATTAATCAGACTGTCAATTCCACCCCAGAGGCCAAACCCCAGAGCAATTCAAGCAGGATCTGATCAAGCTAAGGACAAGAGCTTTACTCCTCACTTCTTGTCTCTCTTTCCTTCCACCTGGATATATTTGTCTGCTCAGAAGCCGCCTTCATTATCCACTGACAGGAGCTTGTATTTATTTGCTTATAAACCTGTTACAATAAATGATTATTCGAACAGCGTCATTCGTACCTTAATGACGAGCACTACTTTTTGATGAATGACATTTCAGGCTAGAAAGGATGTATGGGTCATTTTGACCAGTCATTCCCTCGCTTTGGCATCCCACAATTTTTACGCCTCCTTCAAAAAGAGATAATAATATTTAGAGACACTTGCCGGGCTGAATGTGAATTAGCCCCTGCTGCAGCTCATCATTAGCACAGGACCAGCCCTGCAACTTTGACATTTTTTATAAAGCTGAGATGATGGAAAGAATAAGAAAAGAGATGATCCTGATGGAGAGAGGGCTACACAGCCCTACAGCTGGCAAAAGGCTCTCGAATTTGTCAGACTCAGCTGGAAATGCGGTACTGGAGGCCCTTGAAAATTCTCAACACAGTGGTCGCCTCAGCCCGAGACTAACTCCCGCCTCGCTGCATAGCGCGATAGGGGACATCTCTGCCAAAGGCAAATTTGAAATAGACACTTTATTCAACCTTCAACATCCGAGCAGCGAAAGTGCCGTCTCATCCGAAATCCCTTCGTCGGAGAACAGGAAGAAAATCAGCCTTTACCCCGAAGTTGCTCCGGAGGCAGATATGAACAGTGATGTGGAGGTGGGCTGCTCCGCGCTACGCTCCCCGGCCAGCCTCCCGTCCTCCCAGCTGAAGGAAAACAATAACAAAGGTAACTCTTCGCTTACCATCTCCGTCTAAGCTCTGCACTTTACAAATTGGATTTTAAAATAATAATAATCATTAAAAAACGCCTTCCCCGCCTGCACCGAAGTTGCTCCCCTTTGGAAACAGCGCTCGCTCTTCTGCAAAGACGGAGCTCGAGGCTGTAAAATATTATTGTGATGCCTGCGTTATCACGATAGGCGAGATACGTTGCCCAGTGAGTGCTGTGCTGCTGTGTGTGTGCTTGTATGACTGTGCTTGTGTATATCCAAACTCCTTGATATATATATATATATATGCACACACATATATATATATGTATATAATGTAGAGAATATACGTGGGCACCATTATCTACTCAACTATATTCAGGGAATATTTTCTCTTTCTCTCTCTTTTTTTTTTTCCTTGCGCCTTTAAAGCTATGTGTGTCTCTCTAGCTATTTAAATGTGTTTATATGGCTTAAATAGGAGAGGGAGAGAGAGGGAAGGGAGTGCAAAATGCCTGTATTTGTGTTCGTCCTTCTCCCCGCGTATGCAACGTGCCATTGTGTGGCCGTTTAGCARTAATTGCGCATTGTTCACTTTTCCCCTGCCTCTAGCAGAGGGTTTCAGAGAGCCCGCTTTGCAGGCAGCGTTGATGGACGATTGCTGTTATTATTGCTATAATTGGGAAAGGGAGAGCCAGGTGAGCAGCGGATTTCCTAGGGGCCACAGTGCATGCCTTTTTTGTCAAATGTGCCAAAGAAAGGAAGGCACCCTCGACGTAACGAGAGGGAGAAAGAGAGGAAAAAAAAAAAAAAAAAAAAAAAAAAAAAAAGCGCCTTTATGGCCGCTGATATTTTGGGCGTCTCTAATGAAAATAATAAAGGTCCTCGGAGGGGCAAAAAAGCGACGAAAAGAGCCCTGGCGGAGCCGCGCCAAGCTCCGGCCCAAGCCCTCACCTACTCCAACGCGGCCCTCTGTAATTACCCCAAACGCCCGATTTACTCAGAATAAAGCGGGTATGAAGCGACTAAAAAAAAAGCGCTTTATTGATTCCATTACGGGTGGCAATTTGCACCCATGACAGCGAGCATTAATTACGGGCGCGCGGGCAGGACGCGGCTCACGGCCCCGCGCGGGACGCGCACCCGTGGCCGCGTCTCAGCGCCGCGCGCTCGCTCCGCTCCGCTCCGCAGGCTACTCGGAGAGCAGCGCGGCTCCCAGCAGCGCTCCCGCCGCCGCCTCCGCAGGCCCCGCCGCCCTGCACAGCAGCGGCGCCCTGGGCGGCTCGGGCGCGGGCGCGGACCAGGTGCGCAGGTACCGCACGGCCTTCACCCGCGAGCAGATCGCCCGCCTCGAGAAGGAGTTTTACCGCGAGAACTACGTGTCGCGCCCGCGCCGCTGCGAGCTCGCCGCCGCGCTCAACCTGCCCGAGACCACCATCAAGGTAGGTGCGCTCCCGCGCAGCCCCCGCGGAGGCGTCCGCGCGGCCACAGGCCCCTCCGCGCTGTCTCCAGGCCGGCAGCGCGGCCCCAATCCCGGGTCAGCCGCACGCAGTGGCCCTGAGCATCCAAAACTCTTCATTTGCTTTTTAATTTTCCTTGTCCTTTATTACATTCATTCCTTTTATTTATTGCATTTTTCCTAAACAGCAGAGGGGAGAGAAAATTTACTTAATCGCTCTTAAAAATCGTGACGGGGGAGCGCGGGGTCATGAAGGCGTCAGTGCTATAGGTGCCACTTCTCCAGGTGGGGGGTGTTGAGGAGAAAGCGCCGGTTTGGGACGGCTGGGAGTAGCCATCGGGCCGGGCGCRGGGCCGCGCGGGGCGCGGACCGGGGCGCGGGGCGCGGGGGGCCCGGAGCGGGGCTCAGGCTGCGCTCTGCTTGTGTCCCGCGCAGGTTTGGTTCCAGAACCGGCGCATGAAGGACAAGCGGCAGCGCCTCGCCATGTCCTGGCCGCACCCGGCCGACCCCAGCTTCTACACGTACATGATGACCCACGCGGCGGCCACGGGCAGCCTGCCCTACCCCTTCCACTCGCACGTCCCGCTCCACTACTACCCGCACGTAGGCGTCACGGCCGCCGCCGCCGCCGCCGCCGCCTCGGGCGCCGCCGCCTCGCCCTTCGCCGCCTCCATCCGCCCGCTCGACACCTTCCGCGCCCTCTCGCACCCCTACTCGCGCCCCGAGCTGCTCTGCACCTTCCGCCACCCCGGCCTCTACCAGCCGCCCGCCGCCAGCATCAACAGCAGCGCGGCCGCCTCGGTGGCGGCGGCGGCGGCGGGGGGCCCGGCGGCGGCGGCGGGGGGCGGCTCGGGGCCCTGCTCCTGCCTCAGCTGTCACAGCAGCCACACGGCGGCGGCGGCGGCGGCCGCCTCCGTGCTGGGCTCGCGGGGCGCCGCGGCCGCCGCCGACTTCCCGTGCGCGGCCGGGGCGCAGCGCCCCGACAGCGGCTTCCTGCCCTACTCGGCCGCCGTGCTGGGCAAGGCGGCCGTGGCGTCGCCCGAGCAGCGCGACGAGGCGCCGCTCACCAGATAACTGCCCCGCCGCGCAGCCCTCCGCGCCCGCGGGGCCGCCGCGCCCGCCCGCCCCTTCACCAGCGCGGCCCGAGGAGCCGGGGCCGCGCGCCCGCTTCCCTAGCATTTCGGTTTGTGGTGGAAGAGAGGGGAAAAAGTCTCGAGTGTTTCTTTTCCTTTTATTTTTTTTTCTTACTTTTTTTTTTTTCTTGTACGGAAAGCGGTGGCTAATGAGGCTGCCGCGGACGGGCCAGTAACGGGCAGGGAAGTGCGAGATTGACAGGATTGGGAGAGGCATTTTTTAAACTCATTCTCTCTGACTACCATATTCCACGCGATCTGGGAAATACTTGAATCTCTCTAGGTGTAGGATGTTGTCCTGAAGCATTTACCTTACAGACACTTTTTTTTTT